AACTAGTATGCAATTAAAAATAAATTATTTAAATGATTATTTTTATAAATCATTACCATTTATTATAGCAGATGCCAGGTCATTTCCCGTTAAACTGTGAATAATAACAAATTGAAGAAAACTTTCATTAACCATATTGTTATTGTCTATAAAACGAACGCATAATGTCAGTTGTTCTTTTGTAGCAATATCTGTTGTTTCATCAGCTAAAACTGCAAACCCCTCAGCAGCATTTACTTTCCCAACTATTTCTTTTAAAATTAATTTATCACAAATACAAATAATTTCGTTTTGCATTGTTGGTGATATGTATTTGTAACCTCTTTCTTCTTCTATAATACTATTTAAAAAAGTATCACCACGGGATCTATACTTTAAAATTGCCCGAAAGTTACCTTGATTTTCAAATTCTATAATAATAAAAATCAAGTTTATACAATTTAATATCMACCAATAAATTAAGATATCATTGACTCAACCACTCAACATAATTAAAATATAAAATAGTAAAATACAGTACATATTACCAAGTTCTAATAGTTACCATTTATTTTTCCAGAATCGCGATGTCCTCTGAGTGCGATTTCTTGTTGTCCACATAATATGACACATTCAATTATTGGAATTAGGCGACTTCTATTCAATTTAATTTTTTCWGTCCTATGTGTTTCTAATTTTTCAATTATAGTAACTTGTTTATGGTCAAGTATAGTTAAAAAATGGTCAGCATCTAATACAGATGATAAATGGTATTTCAACTGGGAATGATTTCGAAATGTCTAAAATTAATAAGAATACGTAATACTACAATTAAATACAGAAAATATAATAATTTTAAAAGTGCATAAAATATAACTAATCTATAATATATATAAACAAAAGATTTCAATAATAATTAAAATAATTTAACACCTCTTTTGCTTTTTTCCAGTTTGAAAAAGCAGTTGAAACTAATTGCCCCAGAGGCTGGCCACCAATCCCGCCATATTTAGCAAAAAGCAAACAGTATTTGCAAAAARCTCCTTGYTTAATTTCTGAATAAACAAGCCAATTAAATTCTGTAAACCATTTATATTGAAATTTCAGACCTCTTGCTTTATATTTTTCCAACAATGRGAACTCATAATTTGCATTTGGTACCYACACATTTCTAAGCACCTATAATATTATATTAAAAATAAAGCAAATAATCAAATTATATTTATTAGTTAGTACAATATTGTATTTAGATAAAACATGGATTTGGTATRCAAAATAGCTTACTAGTGGCTAGCTTACACTACTATATTTAACTTACAAGCTTTTTATCA